TAATAAGACCAGTGTTAACATAAGGGTCAGAAACGTGGTCACTTACAGAGAACGACCAAGAATTGCTTAAACGTTTCGAGAGAAAAAAGAGGAAAATATATGGAGGAGTCCAAGAACAGAGTTTGTGGCGTAGGCGCTACAACTTTGAGTTATACAGAAGTTTTGGGGAACCTGACGTTGTAAAATGTATTAAATTAGCACGCCTTCGATGGGTAGGACTTGTAATTAGGCGAGATGAAGATGAAGAGGACGAAAAACTTAGGTATCAAGATAACATAGAGGATGATCTAAAATCCATCGGAGTTGATGCATGGAGAAGAGTTGCCAGAGACAGGGGCGAATGGAAGGTTGTTCTGAAGAAGGCTTTGACTCATAATGAGCTGTAATGCCACTGATGATGATGATGAAGCTAGACTGTATCATGTATAACTGAGAATTTAATGTCCAGCACAGGACTCCACTATCCAAGGTAAACTTTTCCTTGAACAACTCCATTTTCTATGCTTTGTATATGTGTGTCCAGGATCCTATGTCCAAGCCATCTAGGTGTCATCGTAAAAAAAAACAACCAACAAACACATTCTATTGTTTAATATGCCCAAAATATCTAGCACCTATCGGTCATCGTAAAAAGACACTTCTTCAGCCAATCGCTTCTTATCTCTCGAACCAATGCATGAAAAATACACGATCCGATGAGCCGTCGCGCCTCCACTAAATAAGCTTAAAAAATGACCAGAATGGACCTTAGCGAATTTATTCGTTACAAGAAATAACAGGGGGCGTTATTTCTTATAACGCCCTAGCTATTTGCCACCAAATAGCTAGAACTCTTGCTGTCCTTTTACCATCCCTCCCTCCTAAGTGCCTTCTCTATTGAGGTGGGCGATCAATATGGCCAATTTCTCTCTGTTCTGGGCTTGATGGATTAAGTCATTTCCTGTTGTGTGAGTCCAATCTCTGATGTTTCGGAGCCAGGATTTCTTCTTTCTTCCTATACCCTTTTTACCCTCGATTTTGCCTTCTAATATTACCTGGAGCTGCTCAAATTCCTTATGGCGCATTATGTGTCCTAGATATGACGTCTTTCTAATTTTGATTGTATTAATCAGATGAGGTCGTGCGTTCATTATTTCCAGTACCTCTTCATTTGTAGTTTTGCTGGTCCAGCTTATTCTTAGCATTCGGCGGTACATCCACATTTCGAATGAATTCAGTTGGTTGACGTCATACTGTTTTAATATCCAGGTCTCACAGCCATATAGTAGTAGAGACCACACATAACACTTTAGCGTTCTTAACCTTATTGTGATTGATAGCTTGGGGTTACGGAGCATTTTACGCATGTTCATGAAGCCAGATCTTGCTATTTCAATACGTCTTCTAATTTCTTTTGAGTGGTCTAGCCGACTGTTTAGCTCTCTGCCTAGGTATATGAAGCTTTGGGAGCTCTGAAGGGTGATACCATTGATTTGTATGTTGGATGTAATTTGTTCATGGGGGTTCTTGTGGAATACCATGATTTTGGTTTTGGAAAGATTAATATCCAAACCCAGTCTGTCACTTTCTTCTGATAGTATGTTCATCAATATTTTTAGTTGGTCTTCTGTTTCTGCTAATACTACGGTGTCATCGGCATACCTTTTACCATAGTAATTGTAAAATCCCGTCTGAACCTATTGCATTCTATTGTAAGGATGTGCAAGCGACTCCAATATTGAAATCCTGTATAGATTCCAATCGAAGGTCCTTAGGAGGAGAATCCAATAAATACTCAATTAGTAAATGCTCTGAAGTACGCCAAGATATTGTAGGAAATAAAATAAAACATCTGATAAAATAAGTATTCACACAAAAGAGCTTATTGAAAAGCGAAGACGGCTTGAACAGAAAAGACACAGCCGAATATAGACAAAACAAAGAAGTATCAAAAGAGATAATGAAATATGTACTAAAATACAATACAGAAACTATTTCGGAAGTAATAGTAAAAGCTTAAAAGCATTGAAAAGAAATCTACAAATGGTAGTAAAAGATATTCATAAGTGGAGCCTCAGGAAAAGATGACATTGTGATTGGAGGTATTAAAACAGGCGGAAAATGTATTTTACGTCCTCATTCCTATTGCAATACTTGTTTAGAAACTGGAAGAAGAACCCCAATAGTTGAATGAAAGCAGTCAAAATTCTGCCTAGTATTACCAAATTCCAACTATTAATAATTTAGTTTAACATCATACAAAATAAAAGCGAAACATGCAAAAATAATGGTGAAATTACGGATCATTATGTATGTAAATTACTTTTACAATAAGATAAAAGAATCACGTAGAATAATGTTCTAAATATAGTTTTTATAATTATAATATCTTTATGTGGACAGAAAAATATATTTTGTCAAAAACTTGTAGTAATGTCGAGAAACATTAATCAGAACAAATAAAAAAAATATTTATAACATTTAAAAGGGAAATTCCCAGTGGTTGGCTGTATTCCATAGTTACAAACGATGAAGAAAAACCTCTTTTTTGTATAATGTACAAAATTTTATTATTATTTTTTTTTTTAAATGATCCAAAATGGATTTATAAATTTTCAGAATGTTTTCGATCCTATCAGATCATCCTCAATGAAAAACACTATGTCGATGATAAAGGATTACATTTTTAAGGGAACATACAATTTACCTGCTGGAAAAAGGCAACCTTTTTTTTTCGTCACTTTTGAAAAACTTTACAATTTAAACAAAATTATCATTCACGTATTTAATACCTCCGATTACCGTTCAATTAAACTGCCATAACTTTGGTTTTCGACCACCTAAAGACTTCCTTAAACGCTTGAAATTTAGGATTTAGGTTATCCATTTTAATAGTTCGTTAAGTTTTACTATGGCAGAATAATCAAACAGATGAAAGAAATCATTAACGACCAGATCTGTTGGCTTACTTTTGAAGCAAAAAGCTTATTTTTAAGGCGGTCAAAAAAATAGTTGAAAGTCTGGGAAAAAAATTCAATAAGTAGGCATTCTTGTATACATACAGAATTATCTCCACCTAAATTTTTATGCAACTTAAGGTACAATGATATACTATCTATCTAATTAGCCTTCTTCGGTCCATCTTTGGACATAGGCCTCCCCAATCCTTTTCCATTCTTCTCTGTCTGTCGCTACAGTCATCCATCTAGAGCCCACGTGCTTCTTGATATCATCTGCCTATCTCATTTGGGGCCTTCCTCTGCTTCGTTTATATTCCCACGGTCTCCAACTTATAAGAATTTTGTTCCATCGGTCTTCTTGATGATATACTAACATTTGATAAAAATTCGCGGACACCTCCACCTGCAAAAGTAGGTGAAAAGTAAAAATATTGCTCGTATATGTATATGGCACTGCAGTAACATATTACACTCGTATGTACCACTAGTATCACCAGCGCAGCGATCGTGAACAACTTACTGCTTTTTAGTGCACCATAACACAGTACAATTTTTCGCAAACATTACAAAATGTAGAAACAAGTTTGGGGTTCTTTTGAGCTTCTTTACTGCCTTTTGTTGCAACTGTTTCAATGTAACATTGATTACAACGTTTTCTCTTCTTTCTATCGTTTGCAGTTTTGGCGTCAACGTAACAAGCATATGCTTTACAGCAGTAAGAGGTTCAGTCATCAGACTGTAATTGACTAAACTAAAGATTAACATTTCCTGAAATGAGATAACTTGCTGTTTTGGTGTGTTAAAGGAATTATATATAGCGAACAGTTTTTCTCAGAGGTGAGAAATAGCTTGTGTGTTGATCTGAGTCGTCAACACCATCTTTTTCGTTTATTGTAGTCGATAATTGCTTCAGGTTTAATTATAGCTACACCATCTTTCTTATTTTTACCTGCCTCTTTTCGTTTGAGATTTGTGCGCCCTCGTAATACCGACCGTTAAGGCCGTATGACACTATGCATTTTCTTGTATCATTTCTTATATCGTTTCTGATATAGGAAGTTCTTTATGTTTTCTTGTATCGTTTTTGCACGTACATTTTTGCCCTGTATGACACTATGCAAGTTCTTTTACCAGAAATTGTATGTGATTTTGGCACATGATTGGTCGAAATTTTGGCACCTATAAAAATAGAACTGCAGTACCTGAGGACCCCAAGCTACTGGGCACTGAGGACAAATGCTACTTATTATTTTTTTAAATACTGTGGTGCAAAAATGAAAGAAATAAAATGTCCCAATATTAAAACTAAATTGGAAACCACAATTTTTGAAGATATTCAACAGACTGTAATGGAAGACAGAAATAATAAATAATTTGGTTGTAAAAATAAATTTGGTTGTAATAATTTATTTGTTGTTTTTTTAATTATTTGTTTGAATGGCATACTCTTGAAATTCTATTCTCTTATTTGGAGATATAAGATAATCTTTAAACGCATCACCAATCTTTAGAGTGGTTATGTATTGTTTTTAGTAAAACATCTCCTACATTCTGTAGTTCCGATGCTATTTGATCCAATCCCTGTGATTTATTGTTTTTCAATTTGGCTACTGATGTTCTAATCTTGGTTATTGTTGGTGTGCACTATTCCCTGATGCCTGCTTGGTCTAATTGTATATCAAAATTGTCCTCCAGTCGTCAATATGACAGAAGTTTTACGTTTTTGCGGCTTTGTGCACAAATTGGCGCATTTCTTGTACAAGAAAATGCAGGGGACACAAATTCTTGTATCGTTTCTGATATAATAAACTATACGCTTGTATGACACTATCCATTTTTTTGTTATATTAGAAACGATACAAGAAATGATACAAGAAAATGCATAGTGTCATAGGGCCTTTGTAATAATTCTGAAAGTTAAATACGCACAAGCAACACCGGTGATCCTCTGGCACAATTGTAATCTGTTAGTTATGATCGTCGGTGATCCTTGTGGCAGCCAATGTGTTAAGAAACATTTTTTATCTTATGTTCTCCTCCAATAGTTTTTATTTTTTTAAGGTATATAAGCTAAAAGTAGAAAACAAAGAAACTGGTGGCTTTTGGTACGTCTTCCGGCGTTACACGGACTTCGTTCGCCTGTGTACTAGATTAAGAACCAATCATCCTAACATAGTACAACATTTACCAAGGAAGAGATGGTTGAAGAATAACTTCGACCCTATCTTTTTAGAGGAGAGAGTCAACGGTCTCCAGACTCTCGTCAATGCTATCTTAAGTGTACCTGAACTCATCGCTTCCCAAGAAATACAGGACTTCTTCTGTCTAAACGAACCTCCTGTGTATTCTGAAACTAGTGAAGAAACCAAAGTAGGTATCAAAATGTTTTTTTTTTATTTCTATGGTAACATATTATTTCTACTGTAACTTATCTACAATTACCTATGCAGATACAGGTAATTGTAGAGATGTAAACTGGTAAGTATGAAAGAATCAGATAAGTTCAGTTATAAAAAGTAGTACAATAGGACTTTGTTGAGGTTTGTTATTGCGACATGTTGTGGACATGTTCAATGGTATATATTTAACCGGAATATTTTCAAAAGAATGGTTCATCTTCACCTTTATCACCATTCCAAAGAAGTCCCTTCCTACAAGCTGTGATGGTATGTATTAAAGGTATTCCTACGAATTATACATACCAGAATTTACAGCAAATGTGAAAGTGAAACATTACTTACGCAGTTCTTCTTCTTCAATGTATTATCCGGTCCGGATGTTGGCGATCATCAAGGCTATCATGGTTTTGTTGACTACTCTGCGAAACAGCTCCGCGGAGGTCATCCCAAACCATTGTCGGAGATTTTTTAACCACGGGATACGACGGCGTCCCTGCCCTCTCCTGTCAAATACTTTACCCTGCATAACGAGTTGAAGAATTCGATATTTTTCTTTGTTCCGCATCACGTGCTCGAGCTTACGTTGTTTTACTAAATTAAGCACTTCTTTTTCTTTTCTCACGTGCTATAGGACCTCAACGTAGGTGACATGGTCCACATACGATATTTTTAGTATCCACATCTCGAAGGCTTCAATCCGCTTTTCTGTGGCTTTCGTCAGTGTCCAGGCTTCAACTCCGTATAGTAACACTGGAAGAATGTAGCACTTCACTATTCGCATCTTGGTTCCCAAACTGAGATCACTGCAGCACAGCAAGGATTTCAACTTCATAAATGTAGACCATGTAATTTCATTTCTGAATCTAATCTCTTGAACGTAGTCCCATTGTGCGTTGGGGGTAGTTCCGAGGTAAGTGAATCTGTCGACTCTCTGAATTTCTTCTCTACCTGCTATACGGCTGACAACCATGAATAATATTGAGGCCTAGTCCGTATGTTACGCTCACAGTTCTCACTCGGTCTTCGAAACGTCACGTACGCGGTTAGGGCTCCGCAATGGTTTGGGAACCATAGAAGTCCTGTTTGCCTTTAATATATTGGCACGGAAATGCACATATGCCACCCAAGAGAACATTGATTAGATGTTCAAATAATATGAACATTATACTGGGGTCAAACGTCAAAGATAAAACTCGAAGGCTCCCCGTCAGAGGATATAAGTATTCGGAAGGGTGTACGACAGGAATGTATTCTCTCGCCGATGATATTTCATTTATACTCTGAATATATTTTTTACTAAGGGCCGGTTCTACAGTGCTAGTATAGACTAAGAATAAAGTTATACTTGGAATAACTTTATTAATGATGTTCTACAAACAAATAATAAACTAGGAATAAGATAATCGGAGTATATCTATAGAATAACTTTATCCCTCCAAAGTTGAGCAGATATATCGAGTATAAATGTATACTGCATTTCTATTGGTCAGTCAGGGGTTGTCAAATCTGTAATATTTTAACCTCACTTTATGCCATTCAATGAACTGTGGTTTTGTTTGTTTTTATATATAAAATAAAATTTTTGGTATGGATCCAGTTAATGTTAATATTTTTGAATCTGATGATGAAGATTTTGAAGAAGGAATACCTAGGCTAAGGCATCCAAAAACTTTTAGAATCAGGTATGAATTTATGTAGCATTTGAAGTTTTAACAAAATTAAAGTTTTTGGGACAAATTATTTTGAAGAGTATGACGAATTATCTAATAATATCTAATAATCTTTTTTTATCCATTTTATATTAATTTAGCAAAGTACATATAATAATATAAACGTAGATAAAATACCAGATAAAGCGAATTAATTCCTTTCAATTGTAAACAAATTTTACAGTTATGACAAATGCCCAACTTCGCCTGGGTTGTCTGATGGGTGGATTGAGTAGCTCATGGGATGACACTGCCGGTCCCAAGCCCGGATAAAGGAGTAGGGTCCCCATGGCAAGGCTAGCCACCTACCTGGGGTAAAGAAACCCATATTGGCTCACAGAACTGAAGATTCAGCCTCGGATACCGGACGGAAATATCAGATGACGACACACGCTATGACAATGGAAAAACGAATAGGTAAACGAAAACCTAAAGACCCCATTACACTAATCGCGTGCTGGAACCTTACGTCGTGGAACGGAAGAGACCAGGAGATCATAATAGAAATGAAGAAACACAATATTGACATCTGCGGAATCTCCGAAACAAAGAAAAAAGGCCAAGGAACATCAAAATACGGAGAATTTATACTCATATACACCGGGAAAGCTAAAAAAGAAAGAGCGCATTCAGGAGTTGGAATTTTGCTGCACGATAAATACACGCAAAACATCGAAGATATCGAATACATCAACGATAGATTATTAAAAATCTCTATAAAAATGCGTAACATCACAACACACCTGATAAGCACGTATGCCCCAGACATATCTAAGCTCACAGCAGAAACTGAAAATTTCTATCAGCAACTACAAAACGTCGTAGATAACATAAATACGAAACACAAAATTATCGTACTCGAGGATCTTAATGCACGGATCGGAAACGTTGTCATACCAGGTATAAAACAAAAGTACAACGAAGAAATAATTAATGAAAACGGCGAAGCACTAATAGACTTTTGCGCTAGAAATGAAATGAGAATCAACAATACATACTTTCCTCATAAAGACCAACATACATACACTTTTAACAATAATCGAGGCCAGCGATCAATGATAGATTTTATAATCACAAATCGAGCGATAACTCCGTCACAAGTACTTGATGTCAGAGCACTAACATCTGCTAACCTGGGGACTGATCATAACCTTGTTTTATGCAAGATGCTACTAGAACGTCCGCGACGAAACAGAAAACCCCCAATGTTCATCGAAAAACATAATATAGAGTCGCTAGCAACAGAGAGTACAAAACTGCTCTATGAGAACAGGATTACCAGCAAACTAAAAGAGATCGACTTAAAACCCGAATGGGGAGTAGAAGATACTTGGCAAAAAATTAAGAAATGCATCAACGAAGCAGCAGAAGAAGCGATTGGAAAGCGGAAAATTAACACGAGAGCGACAAACCACACCAAACCGTGGTTTTGCCAAGAGGTAAAAGAACTCTCTGAATTAAAACGCAAATGCTACCTGAGATATAAAAGCACTCAATCGGAAGAAGCTCATGCAGAATATGTCCAAATAAGAAACGAAGTAAACGCCAGAATAAAATCAATCAAAAGAGAACATTGGGCCAAATTCACTTGCGACATGGACTACGACCTATATGGTGCCCAAAAGAAAGTATGGAAAATGCTCCGCAACAGGAAAAAACCAGTTAACGAGTTCGTGCAGACCAAAGGAGTACCTATAGAGACATGGCAACAGCATTTTAAAGAGCTATATGATGCTGAAGAAACGCTGAATATAAACGAAGGCGAAACAGATGTGAGTGCTACAATCAATTACGAAGAAGTAGAAGCAAAGATCAAAAAGCTAAAAAACAGAAAATCACCGGGAACGGATGGTATACCCAATGAACTTTTAAAATATGGAGGCCCGGAACTTGCAAGTAAACTGGCACAACTATTTAACACAATATTAAACAAAACAGAAACACCAGAGGAATGGCATAATAGTATCACAATCCCCATATTTAAAAAAAGACAAAAAACCTGCCCACAAAACTATAGAGGAATAACCCTCTTAAATACAACAATGAAACTTTTCACGGGTATTCTCAAGGACAAATTGGAAAAGCAAATCACTAATGCTGAAGAACAACAAGGTTTTACAAAAGGGCGGTCTATAACAGACGCAGTATTTATAATAAAACAAATAAAAGAAAAAGCTATAGAGTTCGGCATGCCAGCGTATATTTGCTTCATTGATTTGACGAAGGCATTTGACAGAGTTCGCCTGGGAGACATTCTAAATATATTAATAGAAAATGAAACACCGACCAGTATAACAAAGATACTCCATAACCTAAATAACAACAACGTAACCAAAGTTAGAGCAGGAGACGAATTCACTGAAAATATTCCAACACCGGGAGGAATTAGACAAGGCGACAGTTTAAGCCCCTTCTTGTTTAATCTTCTCATGGGCAAAATTATCAACAAAGTAACATCTCTTAATCTCGCATATAGAATGGGCAACAAAAGAATTGGTATGGTGTGTTACGCAGACGATGCAGCAATTATTGCCGAATCAGAAGATAATCTCCAAAGGCAGCTCTTTCAGTTCTTTCAAACAAGCCGACTACTAAATATGAACATCTCTACCAACAAAACTAAATGTATGACAATAGCAAAAGATCCGCTCAGATGTAAGTTAGTGGTTGAGGACAACCCCATAGAACAGGTGATGCAATTCAGATATCTGGGCATAGATACATCAAGCACCCACGACCCAGTAAAGGACCTGAGGAGTCAGATCAACAAAGCATCTGCACTGTCAGGATGTCTGCGGGAGATAGTCTGGTCAAATCCGTATATGCGCACAGATAGTAAAATTAGAATCAAGACTTGCATACGACCGATCATGACATATGGCATAGAAGTGCGCGAAGATGCCAACAAATCGAAACAGATGCTAAGGATTGCCTAAATGAAAACCCTAAGAACAATAATGGGGAAAACAAGAAGAGACAGAGTGAGAAATACAAACATTAGAGAGCAGTGCAAAATTCAAGATATTGTAAGATGGGGAAGGCAGCGCAAGAGGATGTGGTACAACCATGTAAGACGAATGGATGAGAATAGACTCCCAAAAATTGCCCTAGAAAACAATCCGCCCGGTTCAAGACCCCCCGGAAGACCACCTAAAAGATAGAGGGATAGTTGGCAATCTACCTCCCAAGAAATTAACCAGAGGCAGCTTCAGAATTAAACAGATCGAAAGATCTACAAAAAGTAGAAGAAGAAGAAGAGGAC